GTCCATGAGGAGACTGCAAGCAAAATAACATAGGAGAAGCTCCATGACAGCATAGAATCATAGAATCATTAAGGTTGGAAGAGACCTCCAAGATCATTGAGTCCAACCGTCAACCCAACACCACCATGCCCACTAAACCATGTCCCTAAGCGCCTCATCTACACGTCTTTTAAATCCCTCCAGGGATGGTGACTCAACCGCTTCCCTGGGCAGCCTGTTCCAATGTTTAACCACTCTTTCAGTAAAGAAATTGTTCCTCACATCCAATCTAAACCTCCTCTGGCACAACTGGAGGCCATTTCCTCTCATCCTATTGCCAGGTACTTGGGAGAAGAGACTTACACCCACCTTGCTACAACCTCTTTTCAGGTAGTTGTAGAGAGTGATGAGGTCTCCCCTCAGCCTCCTTTTCTCCAGGCTAAACAACCCCAGCTCCCTCAGTTGCTCCTCATAAGACTTGTTCTCCAGACCCTTCACCAGCCTCGTTGCCCTTCTCTGGACACGCTCCAACATCTCAACGTCCTTCTTGTAGTGAGGGGCCCAAAACTGAAGACAGCATTCGAGGTGCGGCCTCACCAGGGCCGAGTACAGGGGCACGATCACTTCCCTACTCCTGCTGGCCACACTATTTCTGATACAGGCCAGGATGCCATTGGCCGCCTTGGCCGCCTGGGCACACTGCCGGCTCATGTTCAGCCGGCTGTCGACCAACACCCCCAGGTCCTTTTCCACCAGGCAGCTTTCCAGCCACTCTTCCCCAAGCCTGTAGCGTTGCATGGGGGGATTCCCCCTGTCAAATAGATTCCCACTGTCAAGCTGCCTTCTTATCCTATCTTTTATGATTGTAGGCACCACTCACCAACTTCCAAGTTGATGGATTACATCCTAAATGGGGTCAGAAGCATAGAACAATTAGTGATATTAGTCTGGCGCTGCCCTCTGACTGATCCATTAATCTTAGAGCAGGGGCGACACTCAACAATATTGAAAAACAATACACATTTCAAAGGAAAATCCCTCCTGTATATAATCAAATTCTGAAATCCACTAATATGAGATATTAGTAAACTAAATAGTTAAGCAAAATTATAAAGAAGACTTGGTATTTACATCAATTGAAATAGCATTCATAGTTGTATTTGCCGGATTAGAGTCACGAGGGCACTAATTCTCATCCCTAAAAAGAGAAGCTGATTGCCAGCTGGGATTATGAAAGAATTCCCTCTCTTTCCTTTGTCTCATAGGCTACCAGAGTACATATGGTGGGTACCGATTATCTTCCTATAAAACATTATAAGAAAGAATAATTGAATCTATTACCATTGGAGAAGCCAAAGTGGTTGGGTCAATGATCTTCCATTATGGTATGACAACTCTTCTGAATAGCCCAATACTTCAAACAATGGATAAAACAAACATAGATGCTTATATTTGCTCTTCTTTCCTCCCCTCACCCTCACCTAGAACAGTTAAAAAGGTAAAAGCCATGTCTTCATTTTCACGGATTCTTTACTGTGTCAGCTACAGACAGTCTGGATACATTTTTCTGGCAGAAACATTGCAAAAATCTATTCTAGGTCAATGACTTCCACTGTCAGGATCATTCAAAGTGTTCAGAAGGCTCAAAGGAGAAAAACAAATCACTAAGTATTGGTATTATGCAAGCTCCCTGAAGAGGTATTGACTGCATTTATTGCCAAGAACTGAGAAGCAGCTTTAATGTCATTCTGTTCACCAATGTCCTTTCTTTGCAACTGATCTCACATAATAAACCCCGCTACATCAACTAGCATGCACTTTGACTAGCCTAAGGACAAAACGATTGTGTATGTGTAATGCTGTGGGTTATAAACGTGAAGTAATGCCAGCGAAACACACACAAATCTCTGTGTGTACAGGACACCAGGCACAAGAAAGGTAAACACAGTTTATGCTATGATCACAAAGATAACTATGTTTATTAAAGCAGTTCTATAAAATCCATTAAGCTGACACTATTAAACAGCAGACATGCGAGTACGTATGTATGTGATTTCTCCTGTGAAAGAAGGATTCACGTGAAAGGATTCAAGTTGCCTTGCCTTGAATTAGGCGGGGTGTGTGATTCTACAGTGCCTACACACTTGTAGTTCAGCTGGGACACCCATTGCAGGAACGGCAGAAAGTATTTATACAGCAACAACCTTTTCCACTGCTCCTGCCTCCCGCAGTGACACGGATCATTAATGGCAGCTGCCACGGGAATGGTGCACTCAAAGGTCAGTAGCACCGCTCCCTGCACTGCCAACAGGCAGGAGCTAACGGCTGGGGGCAAGTGAGGGATTTTGCCCCAGAAGATCCTCTTATATGTTGTCCCTAAGGTTCTGGAGCAGTTCATGCACAGAGGTGAGCACTGTCTGCCAAAGAAGGTGGAGATGAGGGATTTCTCCATCCCAGCTCTAACACAGGTGTAAGTGGGAAAGAGGATCTGTAAGAAAACAATTGTTCTCTCCACAAAACAAGCAGCAGGCAGAGCTCTTTTGTCATACAGTGAAAGAAAAACAGTCAGCAAAATAAAAATACGTCAGTCTCTTTCTCACCTACATTCATGAATATTAGCTCTCGCTTACTTTACAAGCAAATGTTTAAACCTACAGTGAAGCCAAGAAGTCAAGCATCCTGAAATCTGTGTCTCCAGAAAACAGCTTTCTGGAACCATTTCTGATTTTGAGTAGCTAAAACCAATACAGTTCATCAGTGCCAGCAGAGCATCAGACAACTCAACAGTCCGAGACCTGACCAGAAGCCAGGCAGGAGCCTGCGCCACACAATGCTTAGCCACCTTGTCAAGTCTCGCTCCCAGACTACCCCAAACCAGGAAAAAAATCATGCATTTCTCAGCTGGCCTGTATAAAGTGGAAGTGTAGTCTTTTAAGTCTTTTTCCCATGAAGTTTTAAACGAAACAAAAATAGGGGGAGTTGCACCAAGTTCTACCCATTCCTTTCCTCTAACTTGACATCTACATTAGTACTGCTAATCACATAGTATGCCAGTGTGCATATAGATTCTTATGTATCTGTTTTAGTTAATAATATTTTAATATTACTTTATAATTCATATTATAATGTATTTTAAATTTTATTTTTAATTTATTATTATTTCATTAGGAGTTTTATCTAGTTGTGACACTAATGCACTGGGTCATTCTTCCCATGAAAGCTCAATATCTTAAGCTTACTCACAAGGAAAAATGTAGAAGCTCACACATCTCTCCTTGATAAATGAGACCTGTCAGAAGCCAATGATCCCAGTGCACAGGATACATAGTACAGCTGACTATGTGAGCTCAACAACAATGAAGAAATACTTTTTACAGACCACTATTTTGTGACAAAAGGGTCTAGACTGCAAACAGCCTGACTGTAATTTACTTCCCGAGTGAAGATTCTGGGAGCATTCTGTGTGAAAATCGTTTTATGTTTCCTCCTTCCTCCAAACCCATTATTTTTCCATGGAAGCAAGTATTCTATTCTGTAACTTATGCAATTACACAAACTAAGCCGGTTCTAAATGTATATAATACATGTTTTATGTGAGTGCTTTCTTTTTCCTTTTTTTTTTTTGAGCTAAAACATCAAACACAAAATATACATAGCATTTGTTTTGTGTACCGAAACACAGGAAGACATTATTCTGTCATAAGGATTTTGTTTGAAGGTCCCAACTCTGCAGAAAACTTAATAAAGTATGTACTCATTTTTATAGTTAACTCAGTAAGAACACTCGCAGCATGTGTGAGTCTTTGCAGAAATAGTACTGATGTAACTAAAACTGTAAATGTTACATAAAAATATATTCACCTGTAATTACACTACAATTTCTAATAACTTTTTTCCTAAATAACCTCTTTCAAATAAAACCTTGATCAACCACCCCCAAGATTCTTTGCAGAATCCACATCCCAACATTACGTCTTAATGTCGTGCGGGAACAGCTATATAATTATAGTGGAAATGCGCATGCCAGCATATAGCACCACCATCTCAGGGGGACTGCATATATTACCACTAGTAGTTTAGTCATGGTTCAAAAGAAGTCAGCCCTGAACTCATTAATTAAAGAATTCAGCTGTATTCCCTAGAGAGGATTTTGAGAGAGAACCAAAGGGTGACTACAGAATGGCTGCTGCTTTGCAATATGCCAAAGATATTTTTGGATGTATTTTGTAGAGTTAAAACTTCACTGAAATTAATTAGCTATTAAACAGAGAAGTTATGTGACCACATAGGTTTTTAAATGGCAAACCAGTTCATTTCTAGGGAAACACTGTTCTTAATAATTTACAAACATTTTACAGCCTTGTATTTACATTAGTTCAGAATTTTACTTGCAGTGCATGTTACATTTTCTAGCCTGTTCATTATTTTATGGATTTTTACAGGGACGCCTTTCAATGAACCACAGCATAGGAACAGAGAGAAACCCAGAGATGATGCAGGGACTCAGGCAGCTCAATGAATTAATACTGGGATGTTCCTCTCCTCAATTTGGTAGCTGTTAACACTACTGCATCCAGTACTCTCTTCTCCTCTGTGCTGAGGTGGCATCTGCGAGCACCAGGGTGCTCACTATCTTACTCCTCCAACCCTGGGGCAGTAACGTGGCCAGTCTCCCCAGTGGAAGAGCAGGGAGGAGATCAGTGGCAGCAGTTTCCAGCTGATCAACCATGACCTTCGTCATTCTAGCTAATACAAACAGTTTGAGGTCCACGGAGATCTAGACCAGTGAAGAGCCGTCTTCTATGTGCAATTTCAGCTTGTTTCATTGGTCATATTTCAAAAATCTAAGCCAAAACAAAAATCTGTAATACCACAGCTCATCCCTGTCTTGGGATAAAAGTAGAGAAGGCACAAAGAGGCCAAAAAGCTCTGATTCCACCTGGGCATACTGACACTCCTGTGAAAGAAGCCAGATAATCTTAAGTATTCAATCACAATTCTTTTTCTTCTAAAATACTCACCTGACTTTCCCTTTGGTGTTTCTAAGAACAGTTGCAGCAAAATTTTGCGTAACACCAACCAGACTGATGCCATCAACTTCCACAATTTGGTCATTCACTTGGATCCTTTCAGGGGAAAACCGCAAACATATAAACAATTGTGTGAATTCTTGGTGAATTTTCAGCAAAAGTTAGAATACAGAGATCTTTTTAGTTTGATTTTAAACAAAGACTTTAAACAAAAACTCAGTCACAAAATGGCTGAGGTAAATATGAAAAATGCATCATTCCTTGCACACAGACATCTCATAAATCCAGCTTTAAAGTTACCATTACAATTAATAGCATCAATCATCCAGTCACTTTCCTTGTATATAAATACAGCAACAAAAACTCGTGAATTGGTCATATGACTTAAATTAAGTAAGATACTTGAACAGTTCTTACATCATTCTTTCCTAAGCCAATCTTGAAAAACAGCATAAGACATAGCTCTGGTATTTCATGCTAATGGAAAAAAAATGCAGTGTTTAACTAAAACAACCTGCTCATCTGTGGAAAAAAGAGCTTGTGCATCAGACTTAATTGTGACCTACCCTCTTAAAATATTTCATCTAACTTGCTCCAAAAAGATGAATTCCCAGTGTACGTGTGATCTTGCTGCATGCAATAAGACGACCTTGGACTGTTTTAATGAGGATTCTCTCTGAAACCAAACACCTATTTACAGTCGATACGCTGTTTGATGCAGGAAAAGTTAGGCGGAATAAAAAACATGCTGCTTTTATCTGAAGCAAGCACTGTTACGAAATCCCTAGAGCAGGCATTGGACTCATCTGGATTACAAATGCTTGGAAGGAGGACTTCTATACTAAAATGTCCTCTAGAAATGCACAAAGTCCTATAGTTTCAAAAATTAAAAAAAACAACCCACGTTCAGAACTAGTGAAAGGGAGCAATTTTCAAGTACTTACATGGATGCTACTGATCCAAACGATACAGTTTACAAAGGAACCAAGGAACAGCTATGAAAAAATCGCATTTAAATTATATGAAAATACCTAAATTAAGCTATTTAATATCTTGGGATATCTTAATGATGACTTTTTTTCAAAGAACAACAGAGGCTTCAAAAGAGGGGTGAAGCATTTTGACTTGGACCACTAATTCCTCTGTCAAGTCTCAGGCAATGCTTTGCAGTTTACAGGTGTTCAAGCAGTATCTTCAGTTCTTTGGACTCCACCGATGAGTAAGAAATACAAAATTTATTCTTTGGCAGCCTCGCACCACAGAATGTCACTGTGTTCTGGGCAGGATCTCCCTTCTGTATATAAGAAACCTTGAAAAAATTATCTTCACGACAGCCTATAAACTCGTATCTTGAAAATCGTATCAGGCATTTTAATCTCAGAATTTTATTTCAATTTTCACTGAAGCATTTAATAAATACACCAATCACATTAATATTTATTGTATTTTCATACTGTAAAAATTATTTATTTTACTTTAGCAAACATGAGGTGCAGTCAGATGGCTGCAGGAGTTCCAAGAAAAGAAGTTTAAGAAGTTGGTGCCCACTGAGTGGGAAGCTGTCACCCTCTTGGCTGAAAACTAAATGGTGGAAGAACAGATTCCTTCCCGATGGTAGTTTAGCTACAACACTTTACATACTTCACTATGCAATGGACTAGCATTGTTCATACAGATACGTAGTTATAGTATTCCAGGTGATGAAACGTCATATTAGAGAACTGTTCCCTGCAACTTCGTAAGTGGCTCTATCTTGACCTACTGCAATTCAGTCTGATTCCATTTGTCCTTCAGGCATATTTTATATCTCCTTCTTTCTTGTCTGTAGAGCTCCTAAATTCATTTCCAACTCTTATTTTTATGGCCATTGTTCTCCAAACCTCCTCTCTTTCTATACATACATATATTTTAATTATATATAAACATACATACATATCAAACAACATACAATTAAGATAATTGTTATTCAAATTATATAATTACATGTAATTAATAAAGAAGTTTCCTGTCTGTTGCCGTGTACATTCTATACTGCCCAGACTAAAATACTCTCACAGCCATATTCTCCTGGCCGCCTTCCTCTTCCTCGTGCATCCCCTCTCCAGTCCCACTCCCACCGCAGCTCTGTACCTGTAGCCTAGCCCTAATTCCCCACACAAGCCACCCCAGGCACCATCTATACCAAAATATTCTCACAGCCATGTTCTCTGGGCAGCCTTCCCTTTAGAGCCCCCTCCATTAGGAGCTCTAGGCTCCCTCTGTCTCAAATCTAATTTCAAACATGAGCAAAAAATCAGGCTCAGGTTGGCAAAGCCTGAATTACAGAGGTTTAATCACTTTTATCATTAATGAAATTGATAATTCTTCTGATAATTACTTTCTAATGGTCATGACAAATTTTTGCCTATGTGAAGCAGCGCTTCAATGAAGTAGCAACTACAGAAGTGAACTAACTAAAGCTGAACAAATTACTTGCATAATCACTGCTCTGTATGATAAACTGAAAAATCTAAGCTGTGCAGAGACAACGTTTAGAGTTTCAAGTTAAGAACTGTGTAATGTTTCAAAACTGTTCCCAATGTTATCAAAATACTTTAAAATGCAAATGACTCATCACCACAATAATTTGAAAGAAGCAGCTATGAATTCATCCAGGAAAAGATTTTATTTTTCATATTCAGTCTAATTATTTATTTCGTATTTTCATATTTCACTATTAATAATCTCTCTTATTACTTACCAACATGCTTGCCTTTGGATTAATCTCGAAGCACCCTCCTTGGTTAAATACCGCCACACAACGCCTTTTGATATGACAACTGAACACTACCTGTTTGTTTGCATCAACATGAACCAAGCCAGCGGTGCTCAATCACTGAGAAACCGCTTTGTACAGATTTTGGGTTTCCATGGGAGGCAAGTACTTTATATCACGATTCAATGGGTCTTTCAATAAAAGATGGGAGTTATCCTACAGAAATTGTAATGTTTTACATTGTAGTTTCAGAAGCGCCTGCTTGAAGATTGCTACGCGGTTATTCAGAATATCTCATGCAACTGCTGAAATATAGTTTTACTTTCTGTTAGGAGACTTTGTTTTGCTATCAGTGTTAGTGATTAACTAGGCTCTTCCCAAAGATGAAGTTAACAGGACCCTTTACAGTTGATGCACTTTATTACAGAACTGGCTGCTCCTGACTGAGAGGATTATATATCCCTTTCCCAAGTGAATGATCAGTGAGGCTCTCAAAGGGAAAATCAGAGGGCTATTTCTCAGCTGACTGAACATTCAGCCAGTTGAAAACCAACGCAAATATTAGAATGGTCAGAGAAAGGTATTATTTTTTCTCAGCTGACAAGCTCCTTTCAGATGCCATCTAGGGAAATGAAAGAAGAGACTTGTGACTGAACATTAACTTCTGTAGCCCACTCAAACACGTGAATAATGAGAGGAACAGAAAATACAGATCATCATAGAGCAGTAGTGAGCGACTCTGATTTTCAACCAGAGAATTTCACACAGAATGCCAGTTGTGAGCTTAATGCCTTCTGGCTGAGCTCAAGCATACCCTTCAGAAAAATGTTCACTTAAATTTAAAGTAATGGATGAAGTCATGACATCTTGAGGTGTCAGCTTCTTCACTTCCCTTCATAATGCTTAAGCCTATGATAAATCAATACTTGGCCTTCAACCTGTATCTTATTGCCAAGATCTGTAAAGATACCTGCAAGCCCAATCTGGAAGAAGGTATACTTCAGTAGTTTCAGAGCAGTGTTATTAAACTTTGCAACCCCCTGCCATGTAGAGCCTTCTGATTTAATTTGTGTGAGGTTTCCACAGCAGAACAACCTTTTGCCTGGCTGAAAAGTTGTAGGTGTTCCTCACTAAGGAACATGTTACTGCAATACATTTTTTAGAAGACAGTATCAACTTTTTAGAGTTTATTCTTACTCTATTTACCTGTGTTTGTGTTTGCTATTATTTATAATTAATATAACAAATCACTAATGGTTAAAAATAGAAGTAGTAAAATGCACATAAGTAGACTTAGTTGCTAATGTATCAGGTAAGTAATATTTTATTTGCATGAAAATTTACAAAGGGTATGCACTGACACAAAACAACAAATTATATGGGTTGGAAGATGTTTAAGGATACTTTTCATTATTAAATGATTACATAATAAAGTGTTTTTCTAACTTCTAATGAGAAACATTAGTCTGATTCTGGCAAGTATTATATACACAGATAACTCTGTCCTGTATGATAGGAAATATCGTATGTTCAAAAGGAATTCTTTAACCTGCACATACCAAGTAAGCAATTCTAGAAGCAACCAGGTTTTATATGAGCATCGTAAAAGACTACAAACACTAATTCATTTCTTTAGTGGGCAAGATTTATGGTACAGCTTCCCATTCCAATTAACGTACTTTCAGTGCTGTAGGGGTGAAAACTGAACTCTGGAGCAGAAGACTATGCATAATAAGAAATACAAAGTAACAGCCTGTGTTAGTAAACTTGAAAGGAGGTGTTTTTAGTAAGAGTTTGAGCATTCAGATACACTAATTATTTTCCTAATCAAACGTTGAGTAGAATTCTTTTTCGTAAGTACTGATTGTTTAAAGCTGGTTTGAAGCCAAAGGAACACATGGGAGCTCAACACCTTTAAAATCTAAACTACCTTCAAAAGTGATACGTAATTTGGAATCTCCAGCTTTACTCACACTAAAGCACCTGGGTTTTCAGGTAGTCACAAACACACATCTTTGGCAAATCTGTTCTCCTTAAACAGTTTAAACTCAGTACACCGAACTGCTGTCTTCTCATAACCACATCAGGTATTTGGACCTTACCAAGGAAATCTCCAAATTTTACACCTTTATCATGACATATATTAAGCAAGCAACTCTTTTCTATGAAAATCATAATTCATAGTAACTACTGCTGGGAAAATTTCCAAATACTGAGTCTAGTTTACCTGCCATCTCTTTCGGCTGCCCCACCTTCTGTTACTGTTTTGACAAATATTCCCAGTTTTTCAAGGCCTGCATCTGCTCCGACTCCCATTCCAATAATGCTTATGCCAAGTCCATCTTCATCTGTGAAAAAGGAAAGCGAAAGCAGAAACTTCTCACATTTGATTTATATAGTTATTTGGTAGATAAACATTTCTGCTTTAGTTCCTCTTGGTTTTCCATGTCAGTAACATTAATATCCTTTCACTTCCTTTTAAAAACTTTATTTTCTACCATTTTAATTACACACAAAAAATATAACCTTCACCATTATGAGATATCACCTTCACCCTTATGAGGAGCTCAGAACAACAATCAAGATTTTTACTCTTCCAGTGGAGAATGAGAACATCGCATTGAACACTGTGTAAAATCATATGTTAATGGAGTGACAGAAAACAATTCCCTTAGGGAAATAAAGAACTGCATGTCTCTGAACTGCTTCTTTAATTCCTTATCAAACAAGTCTTGAAATCCAAAAAGCCAAGGTGACTACAACCGATACATGGAAATTCAAGACAGGGTCTGTAGGCATGTTGTACTCGTGTAGATCAGTGGCACAGGAACTGGAAATGGCACACAGACTCCATACCTTTTTCTAGTTCAACTGGGAAGAGCTCCAGCTTTTCCACACGCTTCTCAAGTTCATATTCAGCTGATGCAGCCACTGGGTCAACTTCATCATTTCTCCTGTCATAGTCTTCATTGGAATATGTATTGAAAACCTGTGGAAACAGACCAAAAATCACTCAACTACCTACTCCAAAAAGACTCCCAACTTATGAAAATAGCTACTGCTTTTGTCCTGTGATGTTGTAGAGTTTGAAAAGGCTTTTAAAACACAAATTTATCCTCTTCATTCAAACTTCAGGTTTTTAAATTTGTGCTTTTTCACTCAATTAAAGCACAAGTATGGTTGCAAAAGTCATTTGAGTATAAATGATTTATTTTTGTTGTTTGTGATTATAAATGCAGAAGGTGATCTTGAATGACTAAGTTGGCCTATACATGCCAATCTTTAAAATACTTAATTCAACTTATTAAGAATGCACTATTAGTAAAGATTCATAGACAGGAAAAAGCAAAATACATTGCAATGACGATCTGCATACAATCTCTGTTTCAGCCTTTTCTCCTAACGAAGTTCCAGTTCGCGTTCATCTAACCAAAGCTAGACCTCAAGATTACTAATCTACTTTTACGCCGCCTGTAGATACCACTAGAGATTATGCTCTATGTTATGTATTAACTTTTTAGGAGAGCAATATACACAGCCATGGATATTTTTTAAACTAACCAGGTTTACAGATTTATTTCAGCTCTAAAGCAGTAATTTAACATTGACTGCATTGACCTGATTATATTATTTACGCTACTTTCTATCATAATTTCAACATGAACATGGCCTTCTATCAGAGATTATTCAGACCTTCAGGAACTTCAAACAGTCAGGAAAAGCATATTTTCATATTTTAGAGGTCAGAGTTTGCCAGCCTAATTCACTTAACTGTCCACATTTGGCAGTAATGAAAGAATATACATTATTAGTGGTAATAATTTTACTGAACTTGAGTCCCATGTATCTATCATGTTCATTACTTCAAATAAAAGAAAACAATTTCCCATACCTCCTCTTCCTCTTTTACAGACACCCTACAGAAGATACAATTATGTAGCGATGTTCTTCTATATCACTTTCTCTTTCAACATAAAACACTGCACCATGCTATGTAGCTACACGTATATTCAGGTCTCAGGAAGCCTGCTCTCTTACAGCCTTGCTTGGAGGCTCCTTAACGACTGCCCCTGGAGCAAGCATGCCGTCATGCTGCCCAGTGCAGTGCCAGAAGCTGGGCTCACTGCCACCTGAGGTTTCACCTCCCAAAAAGCTGTTAGTGCAGATTAATTTCTTTTAAATAGTAAATATATTAAAATCGTAATACAAAAATACTATTCAATACTATTGTAAGTATAGTAAATGTGTTACGGCTACCGCAAAGCTACTGCAAAAAACCTCCCAGCTTTATATAAAGTAGTGGTTGAAACAGAAAAGACATTAGTCACTCTATGGAAATTTTAACTCCTGTATTTTACATCGATGTGAAACACTTAATAAATTGCCTCTTCCAACAAGAGTGAGATGATAAACGTTTTACAAGAATCCACAAACCTATCTCACATTGATTTTTAGTGATATTGATGCAAGAAAAAGGCTGTTTTAATTAAATCATGTTCCTAAGAAGCCTTCATAAATATATCCAAAAGCTAGTCACATACTAAATGCTGTCCAATGCTGCTGAACATTTTATGCTGCTTTAGTATGTATGAGATTGGAGAAAAGACACTGATGCAGAAATAAGCATAAGAAAATGTAACAATTTACTTGGTCTAAAATAACCTGCAAATCTATGTGCAAGTTCTGGCCACGCAACACACAAATGGAGAAACTGTGCAAACAGCCAACCCCTTCAAAATGTAAGCGATCACCTTCAACTCCTTCCCCAAGCTTCTGTTTGTGGATGCAATAACTGCATCTGCATCAGATATTTTTTAAAGGCCTTGAACGATGTATTAATTTCTGCTCCTGCTGTTAACCCCATCGGGTGTTTGAACTCCCAGTTAAAATGGAAAGCAAAATGGAGGGTGTCCATACCTGCTTAACAGCCCGACAGAGGAGCTCTGAAAAGTCTTTTGTTACTCCATGTCTTTCACAGACCCCTTTTACACAAGATAAAGCCTTCTTCATGTTACGTACCCCTGCCTGCTGCTTCTCCGTGGGTCTGAACACTTGAAGACAGGAAGAATCATGAACATGGTTTTCCATGTAGGCCACATCAAGCTAGAAAACAACCCGTAGATCTAATGATGCTAGCCTGTATGTAGTGAAAAAGAAGCATGTAGGGGACAGAAGGCCATCCCATTTATCTTTTGATTGTGAGATGTATGACTCACGACAAACATCTCTACCCTGACACAAGAATAGATCAAACCAGTCAGAAGAGCCCGCTCAACAGCAACGAAAAGCCCTGCCACAGGCCGGTGGGTAAGCTCCCCTGGCAGCTAACCTTCCCTCTGGTTTGTTGTCAAAGATGACTATTCCCACTAAGGGCTCAAAACCCAACCTCATTCACGCTGATATCAACCAAAATAAGAATCAATCAGTGGAGCTAGACCCAATTAAAACATTAGTGAGCTAAGGTTTGACCACAAACCTTTAGGTCTGAAATGCAGCAGTCATGCAAGCAAGTACAGGTTAAAAACAACAGCTGGAAGGTTAGCTTGGATTGTCTCATTTATCAACATCACAAGAGAGACCTGTGTTTCAAATGTGGAACAGGGATGGATGTTATCAAGGAAAATGGAGACACAGTCACTAGCTGTTGAAGGATGGTGAGAGAGGCAGGTAAGTATTGCTTGCTGAAGACAAAGATTAGATGAGGGTGAGGTACAGGGAAAAACTATGTCACAAAATGAGTACATTTATTTCTGGATTCCTCTTCATCATGTTAACTGGCCCCATTCTTTTCCTTTTGTTCAATGACTGGCATTAGTATATTGTGGCAGCAGTTCCAGACCTGTTGCAAAGTGACTGGATACGCTTCAGGATAATTTTCTTTCAAAGCATCAAATCATATATTGACTTCTTGTTTGGGATGATCTTTCTTGAACCAGATTAGATAGAAGAGATGGCTTCTTGGATCTTGCTCACTGTTTTGGAATATTTAGATCTGCACACGAGAAGGGAACTAAAGATACTGTTGGTGGTGAATACAGTTATTATTGCGTCTCCAAATATATCATGCCACTCTTATCTAGTATCTTACTTAAGCATTGAATCTGAGATTGTAGGATCACTGATAGATCAAGGTAAAATAGCATACGTTTCCTACCTGGCATTAACTCACCGTCTTTTGTACATCGGTCATATGATCTTGCCCACTGCCTTCAACATGTGTTTTGACTAGAGGAAGAAGGAGGATATTCTTGTATGTCATTTACCTCATTTTGCACGATTACATTTAATGGTTGACTGATTCTATTAAATTAATCTCTGGGTGTTAAAATGAAGACAAGAAAATTTGTGCTTGGAAATTTTCTTTCTTTGTGAAACAGTCTATCCACCACAGTAACGAACTGCTTGCTCAGTACAGTCATGAGAACTGTCACTCAGGATTTTACTTTGCTAAAAATAAAAGAAACAGTTATAACTTTTTCCTCAAAGTGTGCTTAACTTGATTTAAGTAGCCCTACTTCACCAAGTCTGTTGCTGCTATGTTTCCTAGAGCATGTGTGGGATTGCAGACTTAAGGGAATTCTCCCATTCCCTGCGATTTAACAGATTTGGTTTTGCCCTCACTACCCACTACAATAAAGTCTCCTGAGCCACTACTTAAAGAATGTTCTTTTTCAGGAAAATCCAATACATCATCTGAATCGCTGGTTGTATGATGTTGAATGACGTTTACAAGGATTTACAACAGCACTCGTAATCAAGCAACAGAGGAAATGAAAAGCCGCCAACAGTGGTGACAACCCAATGGATACCAAAGCTCAATGTGTACATCAAAACAAACAAACTCCAAAGAACTGACAGGCTCATTCCAACACTGCTGTTAACAGAACATACTTCTGTCTTCTCTAAAGTGAAAGAAAAAGGGTCATCAGTGATTCATCCAGCACCAAAATAATGACAAACTGTATGATCAAAGAAGTAGGTATTATTTTTAGGCACCCTGGGCAGCACCCGCAGGGGCACCATACGTACACATACATGACGACTTGCTTCTCTTTCAGAGAGCAGTGACAGAGCACCATCTAGAAAAGACACATCACTAACAAAATATGTTGCAGACTCTAATTCAGAAAAAAACCCCCACATTCTGGTTCTAATATTCCATTTTATGAATAAGACCAGAAAAATACAGGATTAGATGGAAACTGATTATTCTTGGAAAAAGGAAAAGTTTTATAAGTTTGGGGCATTTTCTCATAGCTCTCAACTACCAAGAATCTTCACAGAATTTTGCTGGCAATAACCAATAGGTAGGGACAACTCTTTTTTTTTTAAGGAAGGCGGAAAGGAGATGAACTATGAAGAATCGCATGGGCTATCCTCCCCATGGGCTAGCCAGCTCGGTGCTACATTAACCATGTTATTAGTGTTGCATACTATAAAGTCTGCAACATAAAAACTGTCTCATCTGATGTGTTAAGAAAGTCCCAAACATACTGAGTATACCCTGGATATGTCTGTACTGTCTTTGCAAATTGTACCAAGGATCAAGACCTGATCCCAGGTTCAGCTGCTACTGACTGCCTTGTCATCCATGCTTTTTACCCCTCCAGTGACTGGTGCCTGCTGAAGGGAACGAACCGTGCAAAAACTGTGTATTGGTGGAGGCCACCTTGCTGCAATAGCTGTTCTACCACACCTTCAGTTACCCAAGTCTCTCTAACACACTCCTAAATAGTCTCTCTTATGCGCAACTCTTGATGACACCAAGTCATTCCACAGCAGGGGCCACAGACAACGTATGCTGGTGATCGCTGTGTAATACCTTTTATGAAACCACGCTTTCCACCTGCTATTGCTACTGCTGTCATAAAGCCTGCTCTTCATGCCTCTGTTCAGAAAGTAAAAACAGCACCTAAGATCTGATGCTGGGTGGATCTCATATGGGTGAGATATTGCCATGTGGATGGATCATCATGCACAGGAAAGCAG